GCAAAAGCAAAAGGGAGCACACACTTTCATATCTCCTTCTGCTTATGCCTAAAATTACATAAGCACTGCACCCCACCCCCACCCCTGAAATCTCTATTTTCTAGCCTTTAAATCCCTGCTGTTCTGAGTGACAAATCAGGAACAAAGTTATCAAAACAGAAAAGAAGCCCTGGCCGGTTTGGCTCAGCGGTTAGAGCATCAGCCTGTGGTCTGGAGAGACCCGGGTTCAGTTCCCGCTAAGGGCACGTACCTCGGTTGCAGTTTGTCCCCGGCCCCGGTTGGGGTTATGTGGGTGGCAGCCAGTTGATGTGTCTCTCTCACATCGATGTTTCTTCGCTCTGTCTCTTCCTCCCGCTCTCCCTCTAACTCTATGAATGCAAAAAGTGTCCTCAGATGAGGATTTAAAAAAAAACAGAAAAGAAGAATACACATTTATGCTTTTTCTCCAGCACACGAATGAGGTAGTAAATGCTTTCAATGTTTGCTATCTCATGCTACTTGTGGACGAAAAAGGGGCCACAAACTCAGACTGAAAGTAACCACATAGGATGGTCTGAACATAAAAATTCCTAACTAAAAGTGAGTCATGGAGGGTAGTCCACCCTAAGTCTGCAGCTTCCTTGACAAAGGTCAATCTCACCTTAAGTGAGACTGTCTACTGTTTTCTGGCATCTAAGATAACATATCTTTGAAAAGTCAGAGTGTGCTTGCTTTGGCAGCACAGATACCAAAATTGGAACAATACAGAGAAGATTAGCATGGCCCCTGAGCAAAGATGACAGGTAAATTCATAAGTGTTCCATATTTTGTTTGGAAAAGAAAAAAAGTCAGAGTAATCTTTTCCAGATCCCTCAGGGCACAATCTCTGCGCTACAGGATGAGACCATGGAACCCCTCATTTTTATCTTGTTCCCGGAATACTATCTCTGTGTTTTGTAAATGTTAATTGTTAACTATCCTGTATCCACCAATGTAAAAGAAGTATGTGTCTATCCAGTTTACCTTTTATCCAATCTCAGAGATGTCCCTGCTTTGCTTTCTCCTGCCCCCTTAAACTATCACTAATGGATTTCACGTAACCCTCCTTATGCTTCCTATTTTGATTCTAATGTATAGAACAAACTGCAAAACTGCCATTTTTTGCAGCATTTTCTCAGTCCATTGAGATTTTGCTTCACGGCAACTGTTGACATTTTGGCCCAAATACACTAAAAAATTCTCTGCAGGTTTGGATATTTCTTACATCGATACATTAAAGATAGTTGTGGGAAGGGAAATCAAAACTACAGATAGACTCATTTCCTGGAAAAAAGAAATGGCTGGAACTAATAGACTCAACTGAAAATGAATGAGAAATCAATTTACCAGCGCTCTTTTCCAAACTCAGATGCCAACGTATTTTCCCCAGGAGTGATCTCAAAGGTAGATTTTGTTGCCAGCAACTTTGGGGAACAGTAGCCTGTCCCTGTCGATGTTCACTGCTGGTTACTTCCACAGTGTCTTAGCAACAAACAGTCACTTGCTTGACAGCTGGGCAAAGTGTGAATGTTTTTAATGTGCTTAACATGGAATGAGAAGGGACCATCAAAGCACCAAGCAACAGAGGCTTCTAAGATTGAATCTTATCAGGGGAGGAACCTTAAAGGTTTGCACCCTCAAAAAAGCTCTCCCTGCCTGGCTGGTGTGGCTCAGGGGTTGAGCGTTATCATGTACCAAGAGGTCACCAGTTGATTTTTGGTCAGGGCACATGTCTGGGTTTGGGCTCAATTCCAGCAGGAAGTGTGCAGGAGTCAGCCAATTGATGTTGATGTTCCTCTCTCATCAATGTTTCTATCTTTCCCTCTCCCTTCTTCTCTCTCTAAAATCAATAAAAACATTTTTTTTTTTTTTATCCTCACCCGAGGACATTTTTCCATTTTTTGTTCAGATAGAGCGGGAGGGAGAGAGAGGAAGAGAGAGAGAGAGAAACATGGACGTGAAGGGACACATCGAGTGGCTGCCACCCACACGACCAACCAGGGCCGGGGACAAACTGCAACCGAGGTACGTGCCCTTAGCGGGAACCGAACCTGGAATAAAAACATTTTTTAAAAAAAGAAAAAAAGCTCTCCCTATCTTTTTCCAGTGTTTCCCTGGAAGAAGTTGCTAAAGCAGAAATAACTCTTAATAGGATGCTCTATTTTCTCTGAGTTTGGGTGTGCCTTTAATATATATGATACTCTACCTACAACTGTTAGATGTAGATGTGAACAAAAACCATCTCCATCTTTGTGTCCTTTCATGCTGTGATCTTTTTTTTTTTCCATTTTTTGTTCAGGTAGAGTGGGAGGGAGAGAGAGGAACAGAGAGAGAGAGAGAAACATCGATGCGAAAGGAACACATCAAGTGGCTGCCACCCGCACAACCGACCAGGGCCGGGGACAAACTGCAACCGAGGTACGTGCCCTTAGCGGGAACCGAACCCGGGTCTCTCAGGACCGCAGGCCGACGCTCTAACCGCTGAGCCAAACCAGCCAGGGCTCATGCTGTGATCTTTGACCAAACTCACCATTCCTAGTAAGCATATCAAATCCTTTTAGCTAGTATCTGTGTTCGTTAAGATCTAACCATAAATACTTTTGTTAGTAATGACCAGAATGACAACTGAGATGAATAGCAAACTGGTGATAGTATAGACCACCAAGATGTATGGTCCTGGTGCTACTGTATTCTTTGTCCCTTAGTCATGTCAATCATTAGTACCTGAGTTATAATATTTATTTACTTATTGAGACTGGAAGGGAGGGAGGAAGAGAGAGAGAGAGAGAGAGAGAGAGAGAGAGAGAGAGAGAGATGTGAGAGAGACACTTCAATCAGTTGCCTCCAGAACGACCCTGACAGGGGCTAGGGATCAAACCTGCAACCCAGGTACATGCCTTTGATGGGGAATTGAACCTATGATCCTTAGGTCTTCAGGCAAACACTCTAACTGCCGAGCCAAACCATCCAGGACCTGAATTATTAATATTTAAAAGGCTAATATTTAGCAGAGAATAATTTGCCCAAAACTGCTGGGTTGTCTCTTCCACTCTGATCCAATCTTCCCTCAAGTAAATATATTCTGTGATATTCTATGGAATTGCCTGTTTTGTTTGTTGGTCTTAACATACCTTCTCCTTATGGTGGCCATTGCATCTTTGCTCCATCATCAGACAACTAATGGATATTGATCTGGCTAAGTGAAAGCCTGCAGTTCAGACTCCAACTACTTTCATTTCCAAAGGAAACGGACAAGAAATCCCCCTACCCCATCTGAAATGCTTTGAAGACAGCCAAGGAGCAAGCTGGAGCAAACAGGGCTGCTACAGCATCATGTTTGCACCAGAGAGAGAAGTAGCTGTCAGCTGTCAGGAGTCTAGGGAACTCAGAGATTCCTTCAGAACCGGGACACATTAGATCCCCAGCCACCCAGCTGGAGAGAAAACCAAAGCTACACATCTTGCTCAAGACTTCACTGCCATTATTTCGTCCCCGGGAAGGAGTCAATCAGTGTATGAAGTACAGGTTAGTCAAGTGTCTCTTCACAACTGGTAGCTGAATTACTCCACTAGTTCTCTGCTATGTGGCTGCTACCCACCTCCTTTCCTCCCCTCCCAGCAGAAACCCATGTGTCACAAGTAGGGATGCCAAGAGTTCAAAGTTCTCCAATCAAAGCCAACCCCCTCCCCTATTTAAAAAAACAAAAAAAACAAAACGCTTTCTGCAATCCTGTTAATCAGGCAACCCCAATCCTTTCATGGGTTGAGCTGGTTCTACATAGACCATATTTATTATCCAGGGCAAAGTCAAATGCCTCTGGCAGCTCATTTAAAGCCACTCAGGACTTTGCGCCAACTACCTTCTTGTCCAAATTTAAATTTGAAATCTCCTAAAGTGAAAAATCATTAGATAAGCAATTCAACGGAACCACACTTAGGAGCCTCTGAACAAACAAGGCAACAAGAGAGGTCCGCCGGGTGTCGCACCCTCCCAGTCCCTGTCCAGCCCCAAATGGCCGTTCCCGTCTGGCCGAGGAGGGGCGGGCGGTTCTGAAGCAACGTTTCAGTCTCGGAAGGAACCGAGGCCCTGAACGGGCCGGGGAGACGTATGTGATAGGTCTGGGCGGGCGAAGCGAGGGGCGGCCTCGAAGACAAAGTGGGAATGAAGGCCTGGGCCCAGATCGCGGAGGAAACCGCGGCCTTTGCCCAAGGAAACCAGGGGCTCGGTCGGCGCCTCGTCCATGCTCGCGCGGAGGTGGCTGCAGGGGTCCGGGGAGTGTTGTCTCCTTTGTGATAGGAGCCCAGGGCTGACAGGAGAGATCGGATCTCCGCCGGCTGCCTCTTCCAGAACAAGGTGCGGCGCGAACCCTGCGCCAGCCCCGCCCCGCGCCAGCCCCGCCCCGCGCCGCGCGCTCCTTCCATTGGTCAAGGGGAGAAACTAGAGGCTCGCCTGTTTGAATATCGCCCAATGAGAGCTCGAGGGCTAGCCGGGGGCGGGATGGGGGTGTTGGCCTTGCGCAGAAGCGCGCCAGCAGTAGCTGGTAGCTTGCTCTTCGTCGGCTCTGAGAGCCAGCGGAGAACCTCGGGCAGCACAAAGCCGACTTGGCAGCCTCAGTAACTCCTGCCCGCGAACGGGCGCGGGGAAGCCGAGGTCCGGGTCACCCTCGCCCCGAGAATAACTCTGGGAGAGCGGGTCCCCATCCTTAATGCTGGACATTCCGTTCCTGGGTCTGAGGGAGACAAGGGGAATCCCCATTCGACCGAACTTGTGGGAAAAGCTGCATCCCGTTTCCTCGGACTCCCCAAACCCTCGCGCCCCTTAGCGTTCTCTCCAGCAGTTTGAGAGGACTTTGTGCGATTTCCCCACGTCTCTCAAGGTTAGAGTGATTTTTCGTTGACCCCTCCCCCCCCCAATTACCAACCGGCTGCGGGAATTAGGGGGGCTCACCCCGACCCCGCGCGGGCGCCTGGAGCGAGCCTTACCTGCAGCCCCCACCACGGCGAGGAGCGCGGCGAGGAACCAACACAGCCTCATGCTTTCAGCAATGTCCTGGCCCAAACTGCTGTTCCTGTTCGCACTGTCCGTGCTGGAACCCCGGGCTTCGCGCAGCCGGGCAGCGACTGCACGCGGGGCCCCAGTCATTTGCAGCATTTCAATGTGAGGTTTCTCATAGGGGGAGGAGTTTGCAGTGGGGTGATTTTCAAATATCTTCACCTCGCGGCGAGAGGAGGAGTTTCGAACGGCTGGTGTGACATGGGCCCCTTAACCCATGACGACCTGACTGAGATTCCAGTGCCGTTCCAGGGCAGGATCCTTGCTTTGTCGAATTGAGGTAGCCGGTGAAGAGCTGAGCCTCCCCAAACTGGAAATGCATCTCCTGAAAGATCGCCTTTAAATTTCCCTCAACTACTCATTGTTGCGTTTCTGTTTGGTATCCAAAGATTAACTGTCTGTCCTTCGAAAACGTCTAATTGGCTAGGGACAATCTCCCCTCAGCCTCAAAAGGAAAACCTAGATGTAGGAAAATTTCCCCCCTCCTTTCTCTACTTGCTTTTTCCTGTCTAGGATTTGTAGGTAGATTTTAACTGAGTTTAGTCCTTTATAGTTTTTAGATGTTTCTTCCAAAGCACAGTAGAAACGGTTATCGGTGAGGCATTTAAATAAACTCCTTACTGAAGTATAACCAAAAACTGATTTTGTCTTGTGGGATCCAGCACTTGGATGAGTTGTGAGCAAAAACATCTCTAAAATCAACTGACCCAAAACCTGGAGTCTGGACATGAATATTGATTTATCCTTCAAGGAGGAGATGAATGAACAGGAGGCCGCTTCCTCTCCCCAGAGAAAGATCAAAACAATGCCAGGCTTTCAGAGTTGAACCTGACTGCCCAAACCACAGAGGACTGATGGAGAGCAGCTTTTAAGAATCATAAGTCTCTTTTGGGATTTGTACAGTTGCCAGTGGCCCCTGGCCAAAAGGCTCACACAAGCATCTGGCAGTCTTGGAGGGTTCCCCCAAGAATGAGTGGAGTTCTCTGGGGTTTACAAACTGAGCTTGGCAGGGCGCACTAAGCTGTCAGCATGCTGATGAGGAAACCCATGAGAGAAGGCAGAAAAGAGCCAGAGCCCTGGCTGAGTGGCTCAGTTGGTTAGAGCATCTTCCCGGTACGCCAAGGTTGAAGATTCGATCTTGGTCAGGGCACATACAAGAATCAACCAATGGCCCTGCTGGTTTGGGTCAGTGGTTGAGCATCGACCCATGCACCAGGAGGTCACCAGTTTGATTCCCGGTCAGGGTACATGCCCAGGTTGTGGGCCAGATCCCCAGTGGAGGGCATATAAGAGGTGGCCAGTAGATGTTCTCTCTCACTAATGTTTCTCTCTCTCTCTCTCCCTCTCTCTTTCTCTCTCTCTCTCTCTCTGTATTTCCTTCTTCTCTCTCTCTCAAATCAGTAAAGAAAAAGTAAAGAAAGAAAAAAAGAGGCAGAAGGGGACAATTGAACTCTCAGAAAGAAAAACAGTGATTAATACAGAGGAAGAGATTTATAAGCAGAGTGGTAGTTAAGAGTCCCAACTCCAGAATCAGACAGACCTTGGGTGAGTAAATTAGCTTTCACAACCTGGAAAGGGGAGAAAAATAATACTGTCTTCCCTTACTTGGCAGGTTCAGTGTCAGGATCATCTCAGCAAATTTACAAGGATGGGCAAGTTCTGCAAGTTATTGAAACATTTATGAATGTGCCACAGTTAAATTCCATTCCTTATACCATATAATTTATATATGTGTGTGTGTATATATATACTTTTATTAATTTTGAGAGAGAGAGGAAGGGAGAGAAAGAGAAACATTGATGTGAGAACGAACCATTAATCAGCTGCCTGTGTGCGCCCCCTACTGGGGATCGAGCCTACAACCTGGGCATGTGCCCTGGCCAGGAATCAAACCAAGACCACTCAGTCCCTGGGAGGACACTCAATCCACTGAGCCACACCGGTTGGACTCTATATTTCTTTTTTAATCAATTAGGATCATAGGTTTGATTTCCCTTCAGAAAAATTACAAGACATAACATGCTCTGTTTCTGTGGTGAGCCCAGCTTTCTCTTAACCATCTGAAGGTGGGAGACCCTTTCTCCTCAACAGGCCTGGAAAGAGTGACCAGGAAGAGGCTTTTTTCAAGAAAGAAACTTAGCTTACTATGTTTCCAGAGCTAGTCCTATGTAGATGTGAGGGAAGACCTGGAAAAGGGCCACAAAAGCTCTGAAAATAACATTCCTGGGGTGCCAAGGCCTAAGCATCTCCCTTTGACCTGCCTGCAGAAATCACAAGGCCCCATCTGTTCCTAACACCACACATGGACATATATTGCCTTGAGGACAGAGTCACATTGATTGATTTCTCTTTCTTCTACCTCTTGGAGCCTCTATTGCTCTTCTGCAACTAGCTCAGAAGGTTGTATTAGGTAAATTTATATATACTTGGCATAATAAACATCATATATGGGTTTTTTTGTTTTTTTTTTATTGTCTTGTGTTGCAACTGTATCATTTATTTTCCCCCCTCACCTGATAGAGTGGGAGGAAGGGAGACAGAGAGAAACATCCAGACAGGTCCAGGACAAACTGCAATCAAGGTGCCTACCTTTGCCCAGAATCGAACCCAAGACTCATTGGTCCATGGGCCGACATTCTAACTGCTAAGCCAAACTGGCCAGGGCTGCAACTGTATCTTTTTTCTTCTCTTTAGGGAAGACTTTCTTTCTCCTAGGCACTTAAAAGTAATGTTTCCGTGGATCCACTTCATTTGAAAAATCATGGGCTTGCTAGGCTAGTGTGGCTCAGTGGTTGAGCGTCGACTCAGGCACCAGGAGGTCGCCAGTTTGGTTCCAGGTCAGGGCACATGTCCAGGTTGTGGGCTCCACCCCAGTGGGGGGCATGCACAAGGCGGCCAATCGATGTTCTCTCTCATTGATGTTTCTATCTCTCTCTCTTTCTAGCTTCCTCTCTCTAAAAATCAATAAAGAAAAAAATAAAAGAAAATTCCTGGGTTTTTAAAGTAATCTAAGACAACCCAGGAGGCTAGGCTGTTTCCTCATTCTAATGGATAGTCTGCCTTCACCAGGTAGCTCAGACTACAGTAGTCTCCACCTGAGGAAGTCAGTCGGGCCTGTTGGCAGAGGTGAGCCCTGGTAAAGATACAGTCTGGCCTTTGGCCCAGCAGTCAGCAGAGAAAGGATGAGTAACCAACCAACCAGGGGTGCCTTGGTGCTTTTCAGTAGGTGCAATTAGGGATCTGCTTTGATTCGGTTGCCATCAATTTTCTCATTAAAATACCCATTAGCCCTGGCCGGTTTTGTTCAGCGGTTAGAGCGTTGGCCTGCGGTCTGGAGAGACCCAGGTTTGGTTCCCGCTGAGGGCACGTACCTCGGTTGCAGTTTGTCCTTGGCCCTGGTTGGGTCGTGTGGGTGGCAACAACTCGATGTGTCCCTTTCACGTTGATGTTTCTCTCTCTCTCTGTCTCCCTCCCACTCTATCTGAACAAAATATAAAAAAAATGTCCTCAGGTGAGGATAAAAATAAAATAAAATAAAATACCCATTAGCCACATGAGGGCAGAAACCATGGCTCGTATCTCCAGCATCTGCCTGTAGTAAGGGTTAAGTAGTGAAAATAAGAGAAAGTATCATGGGCATGATTGCAACATCAGAGATGTGCTGTTTCTGAATTCCACTCTTCTTGGGATTTTGACAATTCAAATTCAAATTTTGTCCTGGGCTGTCAGTCATTCCTTTCAAATAGAACACCAGACTCAAAAACAAGCCTGTATTGAGAACATGAAGAGAGCCCTGAATTGGTGGTCGGGGGAGATTCAAAACTGATCAAGATACCACCTTGTCCTCAAGGACTTCAGGAGAGAACAAGGCAGGACGTGTCTATAAACAAGGGGCTGTACGGTGCCTGAGAACACAAAGGCCACTTCTAGTACGGTAAAAAAGTATATTTGTATTTAGTTCAAATAGTTGAAAACATTCCCATGGTTCAAAAGTAAAAAGATTTTTGTTAAGATCAGGAAAAAGACAAGGATGCCCACTTTCATCACTTCTATTCACCAACATAGTATTGGAAGGTCTAGACAGCATAATTAGGTAAGAAAAATAAATACAAGGCATCCAATAAATAAAAGGGAGAGGTAGAAAATAGCAGATGTTTTATGTGTAGAAAACCCTGAGAATACACACACACACACACACACACACACACACACAACTGTTAGAACTAAAACATAGCCCTGGCCGGTTGCTCAGTGGTTAGAACGTTGGTCTGTGGACCAGAGAGACCCGAGTTCGGTTCCTGCTAAGGGCACGTACCTCGGTTGCAGTTTGTCCCCGGCCCCGGTTGAGGTCGTGTGGGTGGCAACCAGTTGATGTGTCTCTCTCACATCGATGTTTCTCTCTCTCTCTTCTCTCTCTTTCTCTCTCTCCCTCCTGCTCTATCTGAAGATAAATGCAAAAAATGTCCTCGGGTGAGGATAAAAATAAATAAATAAATAAATAAATAAATAAATAAATAAATAAATAGAACTAAAACATAAATTCAGCAAAGTTGTAGAATGTAAAACAATACACACACAAAAACATTAGCAAAAAACAATCCAAAAAAGAAATTAAGAAAACAATTTCAATTACTATAGCACCAAAAGGGAAAAAAATCTTAGGAATAAATTTAACCAAGAAGGTAAAAGACTTGTATACTAAAAACTAAAATATGTTGCAGAAAGAAATTAAAGACGACACAAATAAATGGAAAGACATCGTGAGTTCATGGATTGAAAGAATTAATATTGTTAAGATGTCAGCATTACCCAAAGCAATCTAAAGATTCCATGCAATCTCCAGTAAAATCCTTCCCTAGCCAGTGTAGTTCAGTGGTTAGAGCATCAGCCCACAGTCCAAAGGGTTGTGGGTTCAATTCCCGACCAAGGGCACATATCTGGTTTGCAGATCTGATCACCAGTCCTGGACAGGGCACGTGTGGGAGGCAACCGATCGATGTGTCTTTCTCACATCCATGTTTCTCTCTCTCTCTCCACCCCCTTTCACTCTCTCTAAAAATCAATGGAAAAATATCCTCTAGTGAGGATTTAAAAACAAA